TTCGCCTCAAAAAACACTATGCCGCTATTGGTTACAAAGTAAAGTTCAAGTCGAACTTGACTCAAGTTTGCTTCTTGCATTCCACCCTTAGTTTAAAAGCATAAAAATTATCAATTCTTTTTTAATTAGGCTTATAAGTACACGATGTCATAGCCAAAAAGTTTTGATTGGTGAAGTATTGTTTAAAGTAATGTTTATGTTCACGTGTGAAAAACTTTAGCTTTATAGCATTTTATTCCAGGTTGGGGTAATTTTTTTGTTAATACAACGGGCTAATATGCTATTTCCATACCGAAAAAGAACCCGATATTTTGGCAAACATTCTCCTGAAGCTAATACCAAAGTTTCGGTATTAGCTTCAAAGAGCTAGTTTTGGCAATCATAAACTTCATTCTCAGATAATAATTAAGTAGAAGATTAATGAATAATAATGAATTATTAATCATATATAAATAAATAATAATAATAAAATTGCACATATATAAAATTTGTACAAACTATAATAATAATTGTATTAGGTATTGCACCTTTATTGTACCATTATTGCATCAATAATTATATTATATAAAATATTGCACCATTTAACTCCAAGTGCTTTAGTTGTTTAGATTTATTGGATAGCATTATTAAACAAGTACTTTCTAAGTTCAACAAAGAAAGTTTCTTGGTTAACAAACAAAAAAAAAGGGAGATCTCTCTGATGAACAAAATATATGATAAAATAGTAATTAAAAAAAAAAAAAATTAAAAGTAGTTTGCGGGAAAATGAAAAAACTAAATTTTATGAAGCTTTCAAAAGTAATACCCCTAAAGATGGTTGGAGTTTTATTGAAAAAGCCATATTGAAGGTTAACTGACTTCAAGACTGACAACGCCAAGAGAACCAGGTGGCACTTTTTTTTAGAAAATGACAGTTATGTCTCCCTAATCAAAAAAGCGTGACGTTAACCCTGGAAGTAAAAAGTCTTAACAAATTTTCCTAAAGAAAATAATAAACAAATATGATAGAATATTAGAATGAAATTCTATCATAATTGTTAATAATTTTCTTTAGTAATGAATAGCTATTGTATCAAAAAATGTTTTAAATTTGAACAAATTAATAAAGACTACACTTTCTTAGCGGAACAAAATAAATAATAATAGTGCTCCACGCCATTATAGAATTCAGGCAAAAATAATTTAGAAGCTGATTCCTTTACTCCTAATTTAACTAAAATCTTTAATCACTCCATCAATAGTTTTCTGAAATATGGAAAAAGGGTAATATTAAATCTTGAATAGAAAAGTAAGGGAAACAGAAAAAAGTTCCAAAAATTACAGACTATTAATACTTCCAATTTTTGCGAGGATTTTTGCGAAAATAGTCGCCAGACAAAATCCTAATTATAATAAGATAAATGAAAACATACCTAAACAACAGTTCGGATTCAGTGGCGGGATTTAGGGGGGAGGGGGGGCTATGGGAGTAGTAGCGCCTCCACCTTGGAACTTACTTTCAGATTTTTTTTTTTTAAATCGATTATTATACAGAATTGGGCTATTATACTGACCAATGAAGTTGACTATTATACGTAATTATAGGTATATGAACTTGATTATTACACTAAAGTACAAAAAATTAAAAAAGATTTAAAAAAAAAAGTTATAAATGAAAATAAGCGGACGTTTTTTTTTTTTTTAACCTTTAGCCCCCTTCTTGGCGAGTGATAAAACCCGTCTCTGTTCGGATTCTGACTTTAACTGTGAACCAGCCTTCAATAAATAACTCATGGTTTAATCTAATTAATGAAGAAAAATATGTAGGAGTATACTATAGACCTTTCTAAATCCTTTGATTCAGTGCCTCATTAGTTAGTAAACGAGGAAATAGGTTTTGAAGTTATTTTGAAAGAAGACAACGAAGATGCAAATTTAAACAAATTTAATTTAAAAAAAGGTGTTCTATAAGGGAGAGGACTTAGTTCTGAACTTTTCAACTCGTTCGTTTGAGATTTACCTTAAGAGATTGGCTCTGAAACAACACAATTTGCAGATGACACTTTAAACTCAGTCTGACTTATCACCTAATTCTATATGAAAAATTAACAAAAACCAAAGAACTCTGTAAAAGTATAAGACTAGCAGTTAATCTGAAAAAAACTCTACTAATAATATTTAAAGCTCAAATAAAAGCTGAAAAAAACTCTACTAATAATATTTAAAGCTCAAATAAAAGCTGAAAAAAACTCTACTAATAATATTTAAAGCTCAAATAAAAGCTGAAAAAAACTCCACTAATAATATTTAAAGCTCAAAGGAAAAAGTGGCAAGTTAATTTTTCAATTAATATCGAAAGTGAATTAATTATACCAGAAAAATCTGCCAAATTACTAGAAGTCACATTGATTAACACCTCATCTTTAATAAACAAATAAATCAAGTAATCAGGAAATGAAACTCAAAAGTGGCTATACTATCTATAGCAGTACCTAATCACTAAAGGAACTTTTAAAAATGGATTATGTAGGACTAATAAGAAGCCACATTGAATACGGTAGCTCTTTATACTTATCAGTTTCTAAAGCTCATAAAAAAACTAGATATTGCACAGAAAATTTCTTCATATATCAATATGATATATCAAGAAATTTCAGTTTATTATCTTTCAAATAAATACGACCCAACAAGTAACATATTACGTGTCTATGATTAAAATATAAATTGCTATAACTGGAAACCTATTACTAGATCTGTCAGTTTAAAACAAAATTTTTTCCTTATCAAGTTAGTATATTTGAAAATTTTCATTGAAAATTTAAAAAATCTTATCTTAACCTCGAGAATTATAAAGTTATGAAAACAATAAACAATGTTTTCATATGAATAGAAATTAAAAGTTATGAAAACAATAAACAATGTTTTCATATGAATAGAAATTATAAAGTTATGAAAACAATAAACAATGTTTTCATATGAATAGAAATTAAAAGTTATGAAAACAATAAACAATGATTTCATATGAATAGAAATTAAAAGTTATGAAAACAATAAACAATGTTTTCATATGAATAGAAATTATAAAGTTATGAAAACAATAAACAATGTTTTCATATGAATAGAAATTAAAAGTTATGAAAACAATAAACAATGTTTTCATATGAATAGAAATTAAAAGCAAAAAATGAGGCTGACCAATATTAGTAAATAAATATATTTTCTAAACGAATGATAAATTTTGCATTAAATGATATATCTAAAAAAAAATCAAATGTTTTTAAAAAATTAAGTATTTTTCTTCTATATGAGTTACTTTAACTGACAAGTGAAAGTTTTAATTGAAGTAGCATGTTTTTATTCAATCTTAGGTTTATATATATAAACCTATAGTTTTTGTTTTAAATACTTTTTACCGTTCACTGCAATTTTGATTTAAAAAACAAATTCTTGACCTATGCGACAAAACGTTTTAAATTCGCTGGTGGTAAACTTTACTTCCGAGGTTTTTATATAAGAAAAAAGAATTTATTATAAGAATAAAAAAATTATTTGCAGCCAAAAATTGAATAATTTATAAAAAAATCTTTTATTAAAAATTTACAAAATCAAAAAGGTTCTCTTAAACACGATTAAGCTATAAAGTACAAACATTCTCATAACTACTTCATTGTATTTTTTCCCTGTTTCACTCTACATCACATGACGTTAATTTAAAAAAATATATATATAATTAAATATCTATTTAGCGCTAAATAAAATCTAAACTTTATTGTGTTTAAATTTGCAAATTTATCTTTCATTGATTTTAATCTGCTCTGTGATAAAGTAGTTAGTATTTAACTTTTTCCTTAAAAATCAGTTGTATAATGCTTGATTTACTGTCAGCAGTAGCAGTGTTCAAGTAGTGTTGGTCACAAACTCGTGTCTGGCAAGCTAAACATGATACAACATTATTTTGCACCTTTGTTTAATTTTGACCCAGATTTTTCTTGAAATTACAGGAAAAAGCGATGATCTTCTAACGGGTCATTACCAACAACTGCATACCGATTTAATGAAGGTACGCAGTAAATTCAAAAATTAAATTTAAAATAAGTCCGATAGCGGTGCACTTCTGATTATTCTATGAAACGCAATGAGGAAAAGCTAGCTAGTCAACACGCTATAATGGATAGGAAAGTTTTTAATTTTTCATGTTTACCAAATCATGCTCCTCCCATATTACATTTTATTCAAAAGATCAGAAATATATTCTTTCCAAAAAAAAAGTCTTTTTTTAGCCGAGTTAAAATCTTAAAAATCTAAATTAAGAAAAATTAACTGAATAGGAGAAAGCGGGGCAACATGGCGAACGTTTTGAAAGCCCTGAGTTATTGCAAAACTATCAGTCGTGAAGCAATAATACTTTCTCAGTATGTTTATGTTATTAAAATTGCCTGCATTAAAATAAAAGTTCACAAATTTGTCATCTGGTCACGTGACCGGGGCAAGATGACTTATTGTGCAATTTTTTTGCATCCAATTTTATAAAATTTGCCTCCAATTTTATAAAATTTTAAAAACTACTAATAACTCTAGCTAAAATAACACAAAATAAACACAATAAACTACAATTACACAAAAAGTCGCAAAAAACTACTTCTAAATAAGTTAAACTTGAAGGACACCATCCATTATGAGAAACCGAAATTGAGGAATTTTTTTTTAAGCGCAAAAAGTTAACTTATGCGTATAAAATTGCGTTAATAATATTTAAAAAAACCAATTAATGTTTTAAAATACAAGATGCAAATACAGTTTCAACTTTAAGATTTTTTGTTCAGCAGTAATCCTTTTGATTACTACTGGACTTAAAAACCCATCAATCTGAAATATTTTTTAAGAGCTTTTATCTTAATATTAAAAGTTCTTTAAAAATATTTTTTTATTTAATGAATTTTCATTAAAAAATGAAAAAGAATTAAACTAGTTTCCAGAAAAAAGTGATTATTATTATATAATATAATCTAAAAAAAACTTACAGCACTCAATGATTCTTCAGGAAACTTAGGAGCGAATACTCTTTTCACAGAAGCAGATGATGCCATTGATACAAACATTGTTACAATATATAGATTAAAAAATACCAGTGTTTTCATTTTATGCTTAATGATATAAAATTTATTAATTATTCAAATTCAAATTACAATAAAATGTAGCGTTTTTAAAGTGGGACAACTAATAACTTTTAAACAAAGTACATATTATAACATATTATTTTAATAAACAAAAATGGATTTTATTAACTCACCAATGCACTTTGTTTTACGTTCATTTTATTCAGATGACTGTCTTTAGTCTGATTTTGATCTTTTGTTTTTCTTCTTTAAAAAAAGTGTTACTTTTCTCTAAAAAAGTTACACTTTTTGTTTAAACAATAAATCAGAAATTAAAAGTAATACTTTACGTATCCCTTTTTTTCTGTATCTGTTGTGCGAAATGGAAACACATTAAAAAGGGGGTCCAAACTAAACACATTATTTAAAATGTGGGCTCCGCAACCCTTATTGTGTTTCATTAAGTAAAATCACGCTGGGTTTTTAAAATTTTTGAAGAAAACATATTTATGACACTTCCTTAGAAGTCTCTTATCACAGAGCACCACAAATTATTTATTTGATACCAATAAGTAACATTGGTTGGTAAGGAAACGTGAACCTCCTGGTTAAATGCTCTCCAAACAGACCCAACGTAAATGCTTTTATGTTGAGTCTCAAATGAAACGAAATTATATAAAAAATTTTAAAATGATAATTATAAAAACGTTATTGGAAAAAAAGTGTCATCAAGAAAATTAGTAAAAACTCACTTTTTTTTTATTTTTAGTAAATAAACATCATTTTTTATGTGTTAAAATCTAACATAATAATTTTTGTATAATAAAGTTTATATGAAAATTTCAAAAAATAATTTTATAAATTTTCATATCAACTTGCCTCATTTAACACCCGACATTTTTGAAAAACGTTTGATATTATTATCAACTCGGTTCAAGGGTCAATATTTAAAGGCCTAAGGGGACCCCGAAAAACTTTTTGTAAATTTCTAAATACAGTGTTATTTTAATATATAGAACACATTTCAAGCTTTGGAACACACATCGTAGTATCAAAGTGGCTGTGAAAAAATGTTAAAAACTTATAAGTTTTAATGAGTATTTCTGACTTCAACCTTTTTGAATGTTTAAATTATAAAACATGAATTAAATTGTTAGAAAGAATCTTCGCAGGTGCTTAAAAAAATAATGTGGGCGGCCTTACCCCTCTGCCACACTTTTGCCAATTCCCTAAATTTAAGGCAGAGGAGGAAGGCGCATGAATTTCGTGTGTGCAAAAATTAAAAACTTATTGCTATAAAATGCATAAAAATCAATAATTTGTTTGTTTTTTTTTAATTTATTTGTGTTTAAAGAGAGATATTTTTTTATTTCTAATTGTCTTTAAAAGGTTTAATGTTAAAATATATTGAAAAATCTTAAATGAATTTCTAATAAAATGTCTATTTGACATTTGTACACTTAAACTAATAATTATATAACGCATTATTTGTGAATAGTTTTTTTTGTGAGTAATTTTTATTTTAAGAGAATAAATTTATTTAGAGAACAAACTTATTAAGAAAATAAAAAACTGGTATAAAAAGTATCAATAAAGAAATAAAATATAATAAAAACTAGATTAACTCAAAAACACCTTTTTAAATCTTTTCTTTATTTTGTTCACGTGTTTAAATGATTTTAAAAATGTTTTAACTAATTAAAAATATTAAAACAAATCGTGGGACTTAATATATGGATAAAACAAATTTTCGGTAACTAATCGTTGACATTTTTAAAAGTTTTGTTTTAAAGTAACTTATTAAACGCAAAAATTAAAAACAAAACTATCGTATCAAAATTAATATCTAAACAAAAGCTGACGCTATTTTGAAAAAAACAAAACAAAAATAACTTTAAAATATCAACCTAAATATAATTATCGTGCTCTAAAAAGCGCAATGGATGTATCAAAATAGCATTAAAATAAAATAAATAAATCATTGATTTCAAAATAGCAGAACGACGGACTTTTTTTTACAAAGTACTAATTATTTTTACAATACAATAATCACGTCTTAGTAATTTATCAGTTTAGAATATATATATATATATATATATATATATATATATATATATATATATATATATATATATATATATATATATATATATATATATATATATATATATATATATATATATATATATATATATATATATATATATATATATATATATATATATATATATATATATTATATATATATATATATATATATATATATATATATATATATATATATATATATATATATATATATATATATATATATATATATATATATATATATATATATATATATATATATATATATATATATATATATATATATATATATATATATATATATATATATATATATATATATATATATATATATATATAAAGACTTTGAAATTAATTTAAATTAGTTAAATATTTTATTGGTGATTAAATGAATACTTTAATTTTATATAAATTTATATATTTGTTCGAAATGATGACTATGTTAATTTCAGAAAATCAATATTTATTTAGATAAAATGATCAATCAAAGTATTTATAATTGGTATTTGACATATATGTGGATTTCAATGTTAAACTGTTTGCTGCAAGAAAGTTTTAGCCAAAAATATAAATAGATTAGTTGACACCATCAGAAAAATAAAGAAACAACGAAAAATTATTATTAAAAGTTGTTAGGTGTAACTTTTTTTTTCCACATGTGGCAAATTTTCCTTATAATACAGTAAATGCATCTGAAATTCCTAAAGAAACAATACTAAAAAGCAAAAACAAAATGCTTAAAAAGAAAAGAAAATTTGAAAAAAGAAAATGGAATCTATAGTTTAAAAATGGACTATTTTACACATCTAATAGATTTTGAAGATATGCAATATTAAAGATATGCAATATAAAGGCAAAAGGCAAAATGCTCCTTTCTTAACCAAATTTTTTATCGCATAATCTTAGGTGTCGAATGTGACAAAAAACTTTTTTGTAAAACAAAGCTAGAAGGAAGCAAAATAATAAAGGTGTCTTCGGAGGTCATATATCACAATCTCTTTATTGTCGTTCAAGCAAATTTAAAACCAAAGAAGCAATCTTTATTTAATATAAGTAATAATTTAAAGCCTTGTATAGTGCGTGGTGCTGCTGTTAAAAGCACAAAAAGTTAATGGAAAAAAATCAGGATGCAAGACTAAACAAATCAATAGTGCAACAAAAAAAACATTCCATATAAAAATTTATTAATAATCCATATGATTTTGTAGGTTTTTCTATACAACATCGTGTTAGAGAAGAAGATTCTTTTGGAGTGTCTTAGGAACGTGCGCAAGTGATACAAATTAATCAATTAAACGCTAAACGAACCACATACCTTGTTAAGTATGATAGCGAACCTGATGAAGTATGGATATTACTTTAGAAAATGACCATACTTTTTCAGGTTCGTTGCAATATACATTATTTTTATATGAACTGCCTATTAATAAAATAAAAGTAATAGTTATAACTATATAGAAGTATTAGTTACTATTACTTTTATATGAACGGCCTATCAATTAAAGGAAAGAATCCAGAAATGGAGAACTTACCTTAGGCAACATGACAGCTCACTGATAAAGTGCAAAGACCTATGGCTTACCTTCTCGTTGGAGCACTTCGTTAAGTATGTTGGAAAATTTTGTTTAATTTATGAATGGAATAGCTAAGGCAAATTTTGTATAAAATTGTTTGATGCGAATTGAAACCCATAAGCTGATAAAATATGGTTGCTCTACTCATTCTACTCAAGTCTTTAACAAAGCTTACTATAGAAACATTTTTGTAATCATTACCAACCATATGTATGTACTAAATTCTAGATTCTAGCATTCACAGCTACCAAATTATACTCGCTTGAACTCTCAATTAGATTGTAAAAATATATGCAATCACTCTATGAATATCTGCATTAGAGGTGAACATATGGAGTCCATTAATCCTTAGATTCAAAGACTAACTGAAAATCTATCGATACAGAAAAAAAGAAATAAGTACACAGCTGAAACTTTTTGATGCTGCATTAGATAAGAATAATAACTTAGTAAATAGGTGAATTTATCAAATTATATGTTAATAAATATATTAAAATACATATTATGTAGTTTAAATATATTAAAACTAAAGCGCAAATAAATTGTTGCGTTTCCTATAGTTGCAGGCAGATAATACAACTTTAAAATAAAGTTTTTTATTTAAGTTTACGAATCTTATATCCTTACAAAATAATTTATTCAATATTTATTTAGAACTTTGGATAAAAGTCAAGAAGAAGAAAGCAGTATTTAGAGCAAAATTAGCAATGGTTAAGGAAGAGCTGAAATGCTTGTACGAGTTTACAACCATTCAAAATCATAATGCATTTAAAGACCCATGCATTATATTTGCTGATGACCTAAACTGTTTGATGACGTAAATTTTTTGATGACTTTGCTTTAAATTTTAAAGTTTGAATTATATTGCTCCAAATAAAAAAGTATACCAATTATAAATGTTTAATAAATATGAATTATATAATTTATTATATAATTCATAATTATATATAAATAAGGTAAAGCGGGGCTAGTTGAGCATAGTGGCAAGTTAGGCAATTAAAATAGCTCAAAAACTATGCACATGAAAAAACACGTAGTGGATGAATGTTAGGGAATTAAAATGTTATTAAAATACACAACAAAGTATTACTGGAAAGCAGTTAAGTAAGATACACGTGCACTTTTTCTGTTTTAGACCAAAATAAAAATTTACTTTTTTCTTGTATGCTTATAAATTTTTTCGTCTGTCATTGCTTAGGTGTTCATATTTTACCAATTATCGGACTTTTGATTATAACTAGCCGTTTCTTCCTAACTCTTACTGTTCTCTTTATAACCTAATTAATGTGTCACCTTGTCTAGTAAGGGTAAGTTGAGCGTCTTTCACAAAAATAAATATAACTGAGCTATTGAATACAAAGAAACCACTTTGATAAGAAACAATTTCGCAGTAGGGGAAAGCGGGGCAACATGGCGAATGGGGCAAGATGGGTTTTCATATAACAACTCAACAAAAAATCTAAAAAAAATGGGTGAAAACAAAACTGTATTTACATTTGTTATTTTAAAACACCAATTGCTTTTTTGAAATATTATTAACGCAATTTTATACGCTTAAATTTACTTTTTGCGCCTAAAAATAAATTCCTCACTTTCGGTTTCTCATAACGGATGGTGTCCTTCAAGTTT